GAGAGAGAGAGAGAGAGAGAGAGAGAGAGAGAGAGAGAGAGAGAGAGAGAGAGAGAGAGAGAGAGAGTTCATGCACAAGGTGCGTATGTGTGTGTTTGTGTTTGTTTGTTTGTGTGTGTTTGTGTGTGTGTGTGTGTGTGTGTGTGTGTGTGTGTGTGAGAGAGAAAGAGAGAGAGAGAGGGAGAGAGGGAGAGAGGGAGAGAGAGAGAGTTCCTGCACAGGGTGCGTATGTGTGTGTGTCGTTGTTCAAACATCAGTCTGCAAGGAAACTGCTCAGGAGAAACTCAAATCACAAGCACAATGAACTCTCTTGACCAGCATGCACATGGCAACCAGCCTATAGCAGCAGAAACGACAAAGCAATGATCACAGCAGCACAACGACAGACATGTCAAAGTCTCTTTGATGATGAAAAGCCCCCTTCCCACCTTCCAACGATCAATAAAACAACCACAGTAACCGTTCTTGGCCCTTGCTGGTGTGTCTACCAGCAGGTATGGCCACCTTGTCTATTGTATCCCCTTTTAGCCTATATTACTCCATACTAGTCCATAGTACAGTGCCTCAGAGCTCCTTGCTGCTACCACCTATGCCTGCTCAGAAAACATGCCATGCTAGAGCTCTGCTCGACGTCAAAAACCATGTAAGTTCCCCCCTTACTCCTCCACGGCCTTCCCCTTCCTCCAAGGATCTCCCCTTTTGTGGCGCCACCTCCTCTACCTCCTCAGCACCCGACCTGGCTAGGCCACCGGTTTTCTTCCTCAATGGAGCCATGGCTGCGCTGACCTGATGCTGGATGCAGCCCTTTCCTGGCTACCGTTGGTCAGCTTGTCGCTTTAACAGCCTGGCGACATCCTTCTCGGCGCTGAAGCCCACGGCGCTGAAGCCCACAGCGCTTGTTTTCTCTCGCTCTCTCCAGCTATGGCTGGTGCTGGCCTTCTCTCACAGCCCAGCCATGGCTGTCGCTGGTCTGTCGGCCGAAGCCCCTCCTCCCCCACTCACACAGCTCGTAATGAGCGCCGAGCGGCCTGTCGGCCTGTCGACTGAATTTCTTCCTGCCAAGGCGATTTTGACCTATGCCGGCCTGCCATATATTCTTCGGTTGGTCTTCGTTTCGCTCGGTAGGTACCAATGTATGGAGTCTTTTGGACAAGTCAGTAGTCTACCCAGCCCTCTGCTGTCTACGCCCGACCTTCAACATGATCAGGATTTAGCCCTTTGGGCCTGAGTGCGGCACCTACCGGCCCTCTGCTGTCTACTGGTGGCCCGCATGGGTTTACAATTGTTGTTCTGTAGCACCATTCTGCTGCGAAGATAGCAGAAAAGATGCGCAAAGCAAAAATTGAGTAAGGAATTCGCCGTTGTTTCTCCAAATGGCAGGCGATGTGCAGGTTCAAGGTTGTGTGGTTGAGGGGAAACTGCCCACACACCTGCCAGCACAATATGCACATGCACTCACAAGCATTCATATGTACGCATGTAGATTCAATGCAACGCCTCAATTCCGGCCGGTGGTTCTCTTACCACCACTGGGATAGAGGCCTTGCAGAAGGGCTTTTTGTTTGTGTGTGTGTGTGGGAGGGGAGGAGGGGGGGGGGAGAGGGGATTCAATAGCACACGCATACGTAGAAAGAGCATGGAAGGGGAGGGCGTAGGAGGGAGTGGGGATTCGGTAGGGGAGCAGATCAATGAGGATCCAGAATCGCACCCTCTGATGCCCGTACCCTCTGCTACAACTGACTCAGTTGAAAGGGCTCGCTGAGAGTCTGGGCTGCACACTCTGTTTCTGACACTTTCTGTGTGTTCATTTAGGCGTGACATGGAAGAGAAGAATACCAAACAAAAAGCCAAGGAAAGCCAGACATGGCCTCGACAAACTTCCCACGCGAGTCCATTTGACGCTCACTTGCATCACCGTCTTCCCCCGAACACAATGCAACATGGTGCAGCCATAGTGAGGATGCGTTGTGTTCGGGGGTGGGGTGGGGGGGGGGGATCCTGTAGCAAAGACGAAGAGATGAGCAAACACTCGCCAAGCACCAAACGAGGGGACACCAAACAAAATAAAACGCCGAGATGTCTGCACCATCTCAGTCAATTTATACCCCCCATGTCTCAGGGCCGGTTTCCCCCGCCGGCAATGCCTGATCATCACCCTGCATCATCGTGATGAGGGGCTGATACAAGCCTTGCTCGCGCACCACTGCTGTGGTGCAAACCTACCCCGTGGGCTGGGGAGAGTTCCAGGTTTGGTTGAGTGGTGGTTCCCCCCGTGCTATACATAGAGTAGCGAGAGAATAAGATAGCATATATACAAATGAAGATTGAGAGAAGAATATAGATTACTTAAAAAAAAAAAAAAAAAGAAACTGCACTCTCAATGTGATGCAGTCAGATGCATCCAGGTCTGGCCGCAATTGCAGTCAGATGCGTTCAAAGGAAGTGCGGGTATGCCCTCACTCACTTTTTTTTAAGTTTGTATTAGCGTTGACCCATGGGGGCAGCTCCTTCCTACTGCAGAACGATGAAGCAACTGTCTGCGAGCAGCAAACCGTCACACAATACACACAAAAGACGCTCAACATAAAGAAAACAATTGCGACACACCTAAACTCCAAGGGCAGACCAACTGGCCTCGCTCAGTTGGTACACCCTTGAACTGACCTGTTGAAATACAGACCTGAGTTCAAACTCCAGATGAGTAAAATACTACGATGCCGAAGTACCTAGGGCCGGTCAGTTCGATGA